ATGCCAGGCCGCTCCTTGGAGGGTGGTGGCTTGGCTGCCGTCCAGTGTCACCCATACCCGTACCAGCTCTCCTACCGTGCGCAGTTTCCTGCATGACGTTAGCCCCGCATGGTATGCTTCCAGGCCCGGTCGACGGCTGACGGCCACGACGTTTGCGTCGTTGGCGGCGTTGGGCAGCAGCGGGTTGCCCCACAGCGCGGCCCCCCAGCACCAGTCGCCGGGCACCAGCGGAGATCTGCCAATGTCCTCCGGCGGTGGCAGGTGCCCCAGGGCCCCCACGATCCGGCTGATGTCGGCGGGCAGGTCGCTGCCGCCGAGCCAGGGCCCCGTGGCCCGGGCGGTTGTCAGGGCCCACGGCTGGAAAGCGGGGTGGACGAGCTCCAGGTAGGCGGACAGTGTACGGATCCAAGGGTGTAGGACCCTGGCCTCACTGCCGGCTGCCACTGCCCCCCCGCCATCCCCGCCTGCCTCCGCGGCCGCCTCAGCTCCCACACCCCCTTCCCCATCTCCTGCCGTCGGCATAGCCTGCGCCATGAAGCGTACGGCCCAGACCGCGTGGCGCGCGCGAATGTGTTGGGAGAGCGGTAGCAGGCCAAAGCCCCCGGCCGATGGGTGGCCGGCCAGGAGACTGCTGGGTATGCCGGTGAGGCGCTGGCCCCGGTCCTCTGGGCCCTGTCGCCGGTCGACTAGGCGGGCCGTCAGCCGCCCGATGTGGTTCAGCGTGCTGTCCGGGGGCGGCCCGCCGTGCTCCATGTGCCAGGTGACCGTTTGCAGGCCGTAGGCTGACGCAGCGGTGGCCCGGCCAAAGGCCGACAGCGGGAAGCGGGGGAGCCGCTGCATCCGCTTGTAGGCCCCCGCCAGCATCTTGGGCCAGTCGGGCTGCGGGGGGCTGGGCCGGTTGTCCACCGGCAAGTTCAGGGCTGTGGCGGTGGTGACCACTTTGAGCCCGCCAATGGTTTCCTGCTGCGGCTGGTGTTGCTGCTGCGGTGGCTGCGGCTGTTGCCTGCCCGCCGGTTGTGGTTGCTGCTGCGGGTTCTCGGCGCCCACCCTCAGAAGCTCTACTTTATCCAGATTGAGGCGTTGGCCTGATGCCCGGGCAAAGGTCTCCATGGCCTCCAGGAAGGATGGCACGGACTCCTCGCTCTCGAGCGCCACTTCGGTGTCGTCCGCGAACTGGCAGGCTGTGATGCGGCCTGGAGCACTGGGTAGTAGTCTGACTCCCACGTCTCGGCTCTGTAGCCAGCATAGCAGGGCCTGAGCGACAAAGCGGATTTATGTGCGTACGTGTACGCATGCATGTCGCATGCTTTCGCCAACGTCAATTGTTTTTGCGTGCGTGTGTCACGCTATCTCGTGAGATTGCCATAGAACGTGGCAGATACTGAGGACCGTTGCCTGTTTGCCAAGAGATACTGAGGACCGTTGCTTGCCTGTTTGCCAAGAAACGTTGGCGGTTAGTTAGGAGTAGGGTTGGGAATTACAGTTACACGTTACGCGTAACTGTAATTTACATTACGTAATTACGTAATGCGGCCAAAAAGTCATGTAATATTACAAAAAGGGCGTAATTACGTTACGGTCTGAAAACGGTCCTCAAAACGCGTAAAATTGTAACGGGCGTAACGACCGCCCGTCGAACACCTCTTTCTCACCGCGGAACTGCGTCTGAATGTTAGACTTAAGCATCTATCAACTCGGCTTACTGACGGAATACCTGTAGCTTACTGCTCAAGCTCAAATTCGGGAACATTGACTGGCTCAAACACCGAACACAACGCTGCTATCACGCCCGCTGTCCTGAAACGTCATTTCTCAGGATATCATGCTAACCGGACACCAATTTAGGCCTCGGCCTCGGTCTCGCCGGTCGTCAGGTTCAGCTTCGGCTGCGCATCCAGCCATTCCGAAAGCGGTCCCAGTCACCTCCTGATCTGCGGATTGACTTCCTTAACAGTCATCGCCTAACAGCCAGACTTTGGCGTGTTAGCGGCCATGTCACCCGTGTCAGACATGTTTACATGCATGACAATTGGATTGCCAGGATCCCTGGAAGGTTGGCCGCCTCAAGTTTCGCAGCTGCAGGTGCTCAAGGCGGAAGCGGAGAGGGTATAAAAGTATGAAATACTTGACTTGAACGCATTTCGAGCGGTTTTGGGGCCCTTCGTACACGTGTACGGCTTGTGTAAAATTACAAGTCCGTTTTGCAGCCCAAAAACGTGTAATTACACGTTTTACGTGTAATACGTGTAATACGTGTAATACGTGTAATACGTATTACATTTACGTACAACAAAAAATTCTCAAATTACAGTAATTTCGCAACCCGCGTTAGTGTGGGGCCTAGTGGTTAGGAGCCGTTGGGTGTGGCCCCTTCGGATCAACTTCCGTGCACCTTCGTTTTCCGTGCGACGCCTGAGTCGTCGACACTTTGTTATTATTACACTTGTTTGTTGTCATTGTACGGGGCCCCGACTGAGCTAGGAGCAATATAGTGCGGGCTCCCCTGGAGGTACGACAAGTGCATTGCGCGGGCTCGTTATAGGATGCGAGAGTTACAATGAGGGACCACTAGGGTCCTGCGCTGGCGCATTCTGAGTCAACTCAGAACCTCACGGGCCTGCCGACTGCAGACCAGCACCCTCCCTCGTGTCCGCTCATCATTGAGGGAGGGTTGGTCCCATGGGACCCACCGGCGGTTAGTGCTAGGGCACTGCCTAATGTGGCAGCCTGGCACGGATATGGCCGTTCGCGTCCGTGTGGAGGAAAGGGTGGGTGCTTGGGACGTCATCCCAGTTCGCGCGGGCGTCTCTAACGAGCGCAAAAAAGTGCAGGCGCTCCCAAAAAAACTGCTTCGATACTAATCCCTACTCGATCGCAAAAACCTTGATCGGGCGCGGCTGCCCGGGACTTGTAAAGCAACTGCCGCCCTCGTTCCAGCGCTACATACAATTGCCGCCAGCACAACAATATCCCAAACCTTGCCTACGATGCCTATCGGTGGCTCAGCTAGCCATAGTTCACATCGGGAGATGTGGCCGCCGGTCGCACCCTCTACTTTCGACTTCAAATGTTGCGCTACTCTGCAGTCCCAAAAGTGATGCATGCGGTCGCCCTGCGACATGGTGTCCCCGCGCGCAGGGGCATCTCGCCACATTTGGGCCTCCCAATTGCGCACGGTGCATGGGGGAGCCCGCGAAGCCGTCCATCGCCAAACGCCAATACGGTTCTTTGTTCTCGTTCTCCCACTTCACCTTCCAAAGGCGGGCAAAAGTGGGCTCCCACTTGGCTACTCTCTGCTCCGTGGGTTCTGGCGTGCCCATCGCCTCACCCACGAAAGCCTGGTGCTTAGCCCGTACCTCCGCCCTTGCCCCATCCATCTGCAGCCAGGTGGCCACGCGCGTGGAGAGTTGGGCGAGTGGCACTGCCGTCTCTCCAACTCTCCATCCTAAGCATTGCACCATTCTTGACCACGATTCTTCCTCGGGTGGCGCCGCCTCTAGCCCGTTCGCATCCTCCATCGTTGCTACGGCCGCCTCTATCCATCCCGTTGGAATGCGCTCTAAAAGTTCCCTAATGCGCCTGGCTGCGGTCAGGCCCTCGCGTAACATACAGCAGCGGAACACCCCCTAGGTCTCTGATTGCCAGAACACCGCTAACACATGCTTCAAAGAAAACGCGTGAGCACCGGGACCGTACCAAGGGGTTAACTCGGCCCTGTGAGCCTTGTGGCATGGCCTCGTATCGTACACCGTGCTCAACGCTGCCCTGTATCGGACTGCAGTCCCAACCGAGGTGAAACCTGGGAGGGAGCACAGATCCGCAAAGTCTGTCTCCAAACCCCCTCGATCTACGCTCGCCTGCCTTCAGTAGTGGGTTGCCCCACAGTGGGGCGTTCACTACCCACGGCCCGGTTCTATGTGCTCCTCTGAAATCACGACCACCGGGGGGAGATAGCTGAAAGCCCCCACAATCCTGGTTAGTCCCGGGCAGTCTTGCGGGACTGATCGGTTCAACAGCCGAGGGAGGCCCCAGGAGGCCCTGTCCCTCTTCGTTCTAGTCCGGCGGCGGTGCGAGACACCTTATCTGTGTCTCGCACTTTGCAGTGTATAAAGCCTCTAAGTAGCATATATTCACAGATCCGCGATTGACAGACCGCGTGAAGCAGTCTCTTGTAAGTTCCTTCGGCAAACGGCAATCCGTTCTCCGAGGAGGACATCCGTGCCCAGGTCGCCCTAGGAGGGAGCTGCGTAGCTCGCCTCCCGAACGAAGGCGCGTGCTTTTCCGTCAGTTTTTTATTGCGTGCGTAGACGGTTAGGTACAGCAGCAGATGGTGAGGTGGAGTAAGGCCGAGCTTAGCTAGGCAACGAAGCTATCTATCCAGAGTGAGCCCCGTTGACCCTGCTGCTGGGAGCCGGTATGATACCATACATACATCAGTGAACAATTAAAGTTACTTATTAGATATAGCGAAATTCGGTGTGATGCTGAGATCTCGGCGGCCGACATGTATGGTCGGCAAGCAATGTCCGTCGCGGTCGGTCGGGCGGGTGGGTCGGCGGGCGGACGGGCGTGGTAAACAGATGCTGGGAGACGCTGAACGCACGGCGGGCTTTTCTGCAGGTTTCCGCAGTGTAAAGGTCCCGTCAATTGCCCGGTTCCTTCCGATTGGCGGGCCACCTCATCATCATCAGCCGGCAGCTGGCTCTAACCTCACAGCTAAGGGCAGCTAGGAGGAACAAATTCTCCCTTGATTGATCGCGTGTTTTTGTTTGGCTTTCTTCCCGGCTTCATTTGCTGATGTCTGCGTGCGTGGGTGTGGCTCGCGCTGTATGTTCGGCCAGCAGCAGCAGCCGCCGCAGGTTTGGCTTCGCCCTGGTCGATCCGTTCCGTGGCTGCAGTGCACGGCTAGCAAGCACGGCTTTCCCCTTGGAGCCCAGTGTAAAATAGAGCAATGGCCCCAAGCTGGCTAAGACGCATTATTTTTTAATATATACATTCCATGGAGTTGGAGGGCATCGATCCCCCTACCTCCCGCACACTCTGCGGCGCTCAGCTGCGCATGCTAAGCGGGCGCTCTACCATTTGAGCTACAACCCCGGATGCATTAGAGCAACTTTCCACAACATATTACCGCTTTAATTTCAGTTATTTGACGGCATTCATGTCGGCATTCTCCCGAGCCATTCACCAAAGCTGAATGGTGACGCCGATAGCGCACGCACATCGATACAGGCACGCGCACGTCGTCGCCATGCGCCTTCGTGGACGTTCGAGGTTGGACTGCCGCCCGTGGGTCACCAGGGTGTGAGCGTTACAGAGAGGGACCACTCCGGAAGGTCCTGCACTGGCGCATTCATTCCCCGTTCGGGAGACTGTACCCCACTGATATGATACCGGTACATACCAACGTAATACCGTAAGCGACGACTCGACTTCCGCCGCGCAACGGTGTCCTCACCCATCCCCTCACCCCATCCCCACATCGATCCCCTAATTGATGCCCGGGCCGCAGGCCGCGCAGCGTGCTTTGCTCTGCTTTGCTTTGCTTCCCGCGGCGAGGTGCTCCACGAGATGCACGCAGACGCGACCGTCTACGACCCACCAGATGACCGGCGGCGGGTCGGACCGCCCAACAGCCGAACAAACTAACAGCCAAAGAGGCCAACAGGACGTGTTGACGTGGACCCAGAAAAGCAAGGCAGACAGGCAGGCAGGCGGGCGGCCCGGACAACCACCCAGCGATCAGCCAGGGATCAGCGGGCATGCCTGCCAGCACCAGCTCTTCCATCCGGTATTGGCTGGTGAGGGTAATCAGGTACCGTATGTCTGGTACGTGCATTACTGGGTGGGTCGTCGGTCGCCTACATCCCGCCGGCCTCCGCTGCGGTATTGTTTTGTTACCGTATGACATACACCCCCGCTGTGCGCGCCGACGGTGCCGGCGGATGAGGCGCACGAGCCACCCAACTTGACGTTTGGTTACATTACCAAACCCGGCAAATACCGGTAACACCACCCTCAACAACGAAACGAAACGATGCACACATGTATGTGCTCCAGGGCTCCCATCCACACGCTCCGTCAGCGAAAAGGGCATCACATCACATCCGATGCTGCCACGGCTGCCAGGAGGACGGAGGCTGCTGCCGCAGGCGGCCGGCGGCCGCCGCAGCCGGCGCCTCCTCCTCTTCCCTCGCCCGCCGCCGCCGCTCCTCCATCTGATGCTGCTGCTGCTCCTGCTCCTGCAGCTGCTGCGCGCGGCCCAGCCCCTCCACAAACTCCTCCATGCTGACGCCGCCGTCGCCGTTCCGGTCGAGTGCCGCCATCAGCGCCGCCGCGTCTCGGTCGCTGGAGGGCGCAGCCAGGTCCATCAGCACCTGCCGCACCTCGCCTGCGCGGGCAGGTGGTGGTGGGAGCGACAGGCAGTTTGGAAGGTTTCGCAGGTTGGATCCCGCAGGGGTGCTTGCTGGTTGGTTGGTTGGTTGCGGGTTGGTTGCAGATCACGGCGCGCACGGCTCACACGGCCCCGCTGCTTAGAGACACGATAAAAGTCCGGTGCCGCCGCCCGCACGCCCTCCGGTCGGCGGACTGCTGCCCGGCCCGTACATACCCTCCCTCTCTCCGTCTCCGTCTCTATCCCAACATTCCAGCACCCCAAACACTAAGGCCAAGTCAAAGGAAGAACAGCCAACAGAGCAGCAGCACGCCCCTCCCGTCCCCTCCCCTCCCTTCCGCGTCTGACCTAGGCTGAGCCGTCCGTCCCCGTTGACGTCCAGGTGCCTGAAGAGCTGCTCCGCCGCCGCCGCCGCGTCGCGCTGGCCCAGCCCAATCACCAGCGGCGGCTCATCCACCTCATCCACACTGCTCAGGCTGCTGAACAGCATCAGCCGCTTCTGCTGCTCCTCTTCTTGGAGAGCCAGCCGCTGCTGCTGCTGCTGCTGCTGCTGGAGTTGATGCTGGTGTTGATGTTGGTGTTGGTCAAGCGCCGCCTGCTGTTGCTGTTGCTGCTGCTGCTGCTGTTGCTCCGTCCGTTGCTCTGACGGCGGTGCCGCCGCAATGCGCTGCATCGTCGACGGCGGCAGCAGCAGCTGCTGTTGCTGTGAAGGCGGAGGTGGCGGAGACGACGGCCCCGAGGCCGGCGCCGCCGCCGGGGGTGGTGTCTGCGGCAAACTTGGCCGCTGTTGCGCCGCCGCCGCTGCCGCAGTGGCATCGAGCATGCCCCGTTCCTGATTCTCTAGAGAACGCCGCCCCGCGTCGCTGCCCTGGCGGCCTGCACCGCCGCCGCCACTTGCACCGCCGCCGCCGCTTCCGCCGCCAGTGGCATTGCCGCTCGGCAGCTGCGGCTCGTCTGCGTGGCTGCTGGAGGCTCTGCCGGCGGCGAGGATGGGGGCCATGGCGCCAGCGGGGCCGCCGCGGGCGTTCGCCGTGGCGGCGCCGCCGCCGTCCTGCGGAGCCGTTGGCGGCGGGCGCGCCGGCGGAGCTGGCGACGGCGACGGCGACGGCCTGGTGGCGGCGGCGGCGGCACTGGCCGTGGCACGGCGCGCCGGCGGCGGCAGGAGCTTGGCTGTCGCAACAGCGCCGCCGCCGCCGCCGCTGGCGCGATTCGGTTGCCGTGTCGTCTGGTAAGGGAATGTCACGGGCGCCGCCGCCGCCGCCGCCGCCGCCGCGACGGCGGCCGCCGCCGCTGGACCGGCCGTAGTTGTTGGGTCAGTGGGGCCCGGCGGAAGGGTTGCAGCCGCCGGCGCTGGAACAGGTGTCACCGCCGTCGCCGCCGCCAGGGCGGCGGCGGCAGCCGCCGCCGCTGCGCGGCGCTCGCGTCGCCTGCGCCGCCGCTCCTCCGCCGCCCTCGCCTCAGCGCCCGTCGAGGCCGCCGCCGCCGCCAGCAACAGCCTACCCCGCGGCTGGGCAGCTAGCCGCCTTTGCAGCTCCTGTGTCCATGCCTGCGCGGGTGGTACGGCGACAAGGTACGGCAACACGGTACTGCGACGATACGGCAAGTAGACCGCATTGCAAACTCGACACACACACGCACGCACACACGCACGCACGCACACACGCACACAAGCACACACACAGGGACGCATTTGAGGCTGCAAGACCACCTAGGGCCAGGGAACTCGAGCGCCTCGGATTAACCACCTGGCCCAGGTATCGGTTTTGATGAGGACTCTCCCCCGGGGCGCCTCTTTCCGCCCCCAGCTCTCCGCCCAGATCCCCGGATCGAGTCCAGGTCTCGTCCAATTTCCGTCCAGAAGCGGCTCCAGAAGCGCTTCCTACCAGCCAGATCATGCCCAGTCATGCCCCACTCACCTGCAGCTGCCGCGCCGTGCGGGCGTCAAGGCCGCCCTTGTAGACCGCGTGGGCGGCGTCGCCGCTCTCGGCCGCCATATCCATTGCTGCCGTACGGATCTGGAGCTCCAGGCACAACGGCCCGCCCGCCGCCGCCTCGGCATCCGCGGCGGGATCCGGCGCGCCCGCCGATTGGTGACCGACCCGTGGGTCATTGAGGGACGAGCTGGCAGTATTCGTACTTGTGTACGGCAGCTGCTCCCAGTCGCCTGACGACCCCGAGGATGTTGACGATGATGAGGACGGCGACGGCCGCGATGACGATGTTGCTGACGGCGGTGGCGATGGCGGTGGCGGCGGCGACGTCGCTGACGGTGCCGCCGCCGACGGTGACGTCGCCGCCGACGGTGACGACGACGGCTCCGTCAGGTCAGTGAAGGAGGACATCGAGGCCGAAGATGGCGGCGGCGGCGGCGGCGGCGGCGCGCCGCCGTACGTTTCATACGACATGTCCAGCTGTCCCAGCTGCAGCGTGATGTGCAGCGACTGGTAGCCGTTTGGTTTCGGAGCCACGATGTAGTCTTTGGAGCGGCTGGGGATTGGGCGCCAGAGCTGACAGGCAACCTGAGGTGTGAGGGGTGGGTGGGTGTGAGGGGTGGGTGGGAACAGCAGAGGGAGAGAGGGAGGTAAGGGAGGTGTGGCAGAAGAACCGCGGTCGAGGGAGGGGGATATCCACGTATAGGCCGGAGCCCGTGAACGGTATGAAATCAGAAAAGTCCTTCCTGGGAGGGGGAGGGGTCAAGAGAATAAAATAAAGCAGCACACGCTGAAAGGGCCGACGATGCTACCGTATAGAAAGGCGAGAAGCAAGCCAAAACGAAGGGAGGGGAATTGGGGAGGGAGGAAGGGAGTGCATGTGTGCGCGGTGGCGTGCCCCCAGGAGATTCTCCCAGGGAGCTGCCGTACCGGGATCCGGGAATGGCGGGCTGTGGGCCCCAAACCCCCCAGCCCTCGACACGCGCGCCGCTGACGCGTGTTGAGCCGTTTTTTGCTGTGTAACAGTACGGCAACAGTACGGCACTCACCTCCTGTACGATATAGCAGGCCTTGGTCGCGGCCGCCTCCGCCTCCGCGGGCGGAAGGAACTCGGGCGCCTTCACTACTGCGCGCATTCCCAGCAGGTCGTACAGCTCCTGACAGGCGGAGGAAAAGAGGTAAGAGGGGCAGGGGGCAGCAGGGAACGCGGACAGAAAGAGGGTTGACACTTTGGCAGTGAAATGCGGTAGCGGTACAGTACAAGTGGGGAGAAAGGGAGGAGAGGGGAGGGGCCGCCGGTACCGTAAACACACACGCACACACGCCCGCCCGCCCCTCCAGGTCCCCGCACCTCACCTCCCTGCTCCGGCCCCCCCTGGCCAGGTCCCCCAAGTGCAGCAGCTTCTTCATAACGGAGAACAGGCTCTTGGTGCGCGCCTTGACCAGCAGGCCCCCCGCGCAGCGACCAAAGTCGGGGTGCGCCTCCAGGGAGGCCAACAGCCGCTGCTGCGCCGCGAACAACGCATCCTCGGCGGGGTCCATCAGACCGCGTAGCCAGGCGGAGGTGGAGGAGTAGGACTCGGGGAACAGGACCTTAGAGAGAGGGGGAGCGGGAGGGGGAGGTGAGGGGGCGGGTGGAGGGAGGTGAGGGGGGCGGTGGGTGGAGGGAGGTGAAGGGGTGGGGAGAAAATGGTACTGCAGAGAAGGAACGGAGACGGCGTCAGCGAACGGATGCTGAATCCAGCAAGGAAGATGGGCTGCGAGTTGGGCGG